ATTTGAGGGTATAGAGGGCTGTAAAAAGTTCACATATGGCACACAAATTATTTTGTTAGGGTGCCATCTGCTGGTCTTAAACAACCAGAGCTTATTTTTCTTAAAAATTAATTATTTCTTCTATTAAAACTAGACTTAGAAATTTGACTCAAACAACTTTTTGTCCTTTCTCATTTAGAATGATAGTATAGACTATTTTCAAATGATTGTCTGATGCATAATTCTTAAACGTCCCAATATGGAAATATAAAATAAGGTATAACTTTATGCTTAATTTAGGAAAATGGAGGCACAAGGCATTGCTTTGACTTACTGGTTCCTGACCTATTTCGATTCAAGTTTCTTTTTTTTAGTTTGTATAGCTCCCTTGACTTAAAAAAATTGTCACATTTTCCCTACATAAAAGCAATGAAATTGCTGTGTTTGTGATTCCATTGGTTTCAACCTGCTTTATTCATCCATGTGCTAAACTTGGTCTCTATCCCATAGCATAAGGTGCATGTACAATTAGTTGCTTTTTTATAAAGCAAGCTCATCAACATAGTCTTTATCATTTATGTTTGATACTAATGTTGTTTGCTGGTCTTTTCCCAACTTGCCTCTATAAAAGATAAGAAACAGCAACTGGTTCCCTTTTTGAAAAAATCCTTTACCACCTACTAACTATATGTCCTTGAGCAAGTCACTTTCTTCCCTGTGGCTCTGTTTTCCTTATGTATAAGTTTCAGATAATAATAGTAATCACCCCATATGATTACAGAGTTATCCTGAGTGTTAAAGGAAATCACAGGTATAACGTTTTTAGAATAGTAGTATAACATAAAAACACAAAATAATTGCTGTTTTGTCATAGTTGTTATTTAAGCATGTCAAAGAATATCAACGAGAGAATCATAACTTTGCAGTAACTCTTGGGATTCTCAGCTTCTCTTGACTGACAGATACAAAATTGTGTGTGTGTGTGTGTGTGTGTGTGTATGTATGTGTGTGTGTGTGTGTATGTATGTGTGTGTATGCGTGTGTGTGTGTGTGTTTATATTATGGAGTAAAGGAGAACACTAATTATTTTCCTTACCTTCCCCCTGTCCCATTCTGTGAGTTCTTAATCGACATGAAATCTCAACTCCCTAAAATTTTGTGTAAACCTTTTCATAATCTGACTGTTTAATTCTTGTTCTTTATTTCTCAATATTCTCTTTTTCAAATACTGTGTTTCAGCCATAATGAACTTTCCAGTTGCCTGAGTGGATTATGCTTTCACTCCTCAGGCCCTTATGCATGCCTGTGTTTCCTCTTCCTAAAGCACCCTTCTC